GCAGGGGGGTTGTATATCGATTGTAATCTAGGGGATTACTATCGATATATAGCACCTTTTAAATTTTGCTGATGTTAATGGCCTCCCCATTTGGTATACCTGTTATTTGAAGTATTTCTAAACTAGTATACTCCTTCTAATAGGTAGCTTCTTGTCCACGTTTCTCAAGCCAGGTACCTGCTGCCGCCGCTAGTTCCATATAAGAAACATTGATATCACATGTTAGAAAGGGGACTTATCATGGGTTTGCACCGCTCAATTTCTGCCAGCTTGCATTCCTTCATACAACTTATGTTACATAAATGCCCCAAACCTCCTACTTGTATCCTCAGGTATACTAGCCTCGTATCAGCCAGGTCTCTGCTACCGCCACCCGGTTTGCCGTCCTCAGATCTTAGCATTTCCTAAGTTTTTCGATGCAGTGTACTACTTACTACCCCCTAGGTACTACTCCCTTATATGGTATTCGTCAGAACTATGGTTCGTGAGGACCCCTTGAGTTGTACAGCAACTACAAGGCTACACACTCCCAGCCATTGACTATTTTCGTAATTCTGCTTTAATGATCTATCTTGTTAAAGACCAGCCTAACACCACGAAATTACTTAAGTGGCAAGCTAAATCACTTCCAGCTAGCTATTTCTAGTTGGTATCGCATTAATGTTGGTAAATCCTAACTCTTTTTTGTCATAGACTTCTATATAGATGTGACCAGAGCCCGAATTGGTACCTTTAGACGTACAGGAGTAGGTTACATACTCTACGCCAAGTAGCCTTCTATAGTCAATGAGTATTAATTTGCAAATTTGTATAATATACAAATCAAACCAATTTTTATAAAACAAAATTAAACCTTGACTATAGTTAGGATAAAAGTGTACTTGGAATTAAGATAGAATATGATTTATACCAAATTTTCATAAGAAATTTTTTTGTTAGAAGTCAAAAAATAGTTTTATATTAAAATTTTAAGATATTAATAATATTTTTTTTAAAAAAACAAGTTTATATTATACCTAATTAGTATTTCACAAAAAATTTAATCTGCTTGTCAGTCTATCTAGATTTGTAAATGGTTCTTGATTAGGTAGATACAAATCTGTATTAAGATTTGTTTAGTCTGGTCTAAAATATAAGCTAGCTTTTAATTGGTCAAATATATTCAGAATTAACCAGAAATATAAATAGTCAAGCAATATAAAAGATGAGCAGGTGTATCAAAGAGATATAGAAAATAAAATTTTTTTTAAAAAAAGAAGTTTTTTTTTAAAACAAAGTTAGGTGAATTAAATCCAGATTTAAACCCAAAACTTAAATTCGATTTGATCATTGGACTAGATTCAGATCTTTAAAAATATCTGCCTGGTTTGATTCATGTGAAACACTAAACTTTCTAATAATATCTGTATATAAACAACTCTTGTACAAATAAAAATACTTTAATTATTATTTAATCTATTAAATTTTTAAAAATTTCTTATAATATAACTTGATCTTGATTATTATATAGACAAGTTTATATTATTATTTTAGTATTTTAGTTTATATCAGAATTACCTATTTTGTTTTTACTTGTTTATTCTAATTTTTATTTATATTAATTTTCTAATTTTTAATTAAAAAATTTATTTTATTATTTACTTTTTTATAAAAGAATTTCTTATCAAATTATTTATTTTTTTTTAGGGATTTAATTTATAGTGCTATAGCATTATGGTGCTAGGGTGTTGTAACCAATTAAAATTTAAGATCAGGTGTAACCTGCAGATCACCTTTTTGTATAACAAAAATAATAAATTTTTAAAAAATTATTTATATCTCAAAATTTTGATTAAAAAACCATCTTTTGTGTTCTAATAAAAAAAATTCCTTGCAAAATTTTAGTTTAAACTATGTTTTGCCTAACCTTAACTCCAACTTTAATCTAAACCTAATTAAAAGTTTTATTTTTTGTAAATACTAGATTGTTTTGATTTACATGTTACACTAATTTTATATTTACATATAGGGTAGCACTATGGTGCTATAGTACTATAATAATATTTCCTTTTTTTTAATCTTTGATAATCTTATCAATATTCTTTATTAAGAATATTATATGTATAACTATTTATACAATAAATTATTTAATTTATAAGCTTGATATTTTCTGGCTATGCTTTTGAATATCCAGAAGCAGTTTGCTGTACTCGAGCAAAAAAAAATTCAAAAAAATAATAATTATCATTACAGCAAAACAAACTGTAAAAACTAAAAGTTATTCATGTCATAAAAATAATGCACTTTGTACAAGACGTTGTAGCTGCATATTGAGAGGTGAATATAAAAATCATTAATTGTATAATCGGTATAAAGCATTCGTTCATTATTAATCGACGAACATATAATATTGAACATTGTTGTCTTCATGAAATCAGAGCTAGCATACGTAAGGCAATTTTAATTCTAATGGAATAAACCAACAAACTATACATGATCTTATGCATTTGCATTAAAGGCATTAATCGAAGGTGGTTATTAAAATACGAATGTAGCAAGCGCAATATTGCAATAAAAAAGTACATAATATTTTTAGCAATTCACTACGTATTTTTATATAATACGTATGCAATTAATTAATTTTTATTAACCACAATATATAATTTATTTTTCGACTATTTAATACATTATTTATTTAATTTTTTTTTCTTTTATCGTTATTTTAGTTTTTTTTTTTACAAAAAATTTTTATAAATTATGTATCGATATTGCTACGTATACCGATTATTATTTGGCTTACGTTAAATTGCAATTTTTAAATTTGAAACTAACAGGAACTGCATACGTATACGTAGTACCATATTTTTATTTTTTATACGTATCAGAGTGTCCAGCTAGTAATAGTCGAAATAGCTAGCAAAAATAGCAAAAAGAACGAATTAGCAATCACGAGAATATAGTGAATAGTGGCCATTTACTGTGCCGCTGCCTTTTGTTTAAAGCATCTTTCTTGATATGTATAAGTATTTAATCATCTCAGCAATTGATAATATGATGCATTTAATATCCCTGCTTTGAATCCGGCTGATATATCTATAGATTCAAAAGTTTCTAATTGTTCACGGACAAAAAGAAATAGCAAAAATTCGCATCTTAGCACAAAAACAATGTAGCTAGCTATTTCTAGCAATTTGCTAGAAATAGCTGGACACTCTGATACGTATAAATCTTATTACGTATACTGTATCGGTATGTATTACAAATGTACGTAGGCCGATATCAATCAGTTTAGGCCGAATAATCGACAAATTCCCTGTCTTATATGTAATCTTAAATTTTAAACGATGTATAATTTGATCACTTTAACCGCAACAAGAAATCTGGAAACTTACGATATTTGCATGATCGCACAAAGGAGTTTCAGAACCTTGAAAGTACTAATCTCGGTTCGTACGTCTTTATTACATTGGCTAAAATGTCTATTCATTTCACTGGTCAATGCAATTTTTCATTTGTTATTGAGAATAAATAAGGTTAATTATTGAAAAATATTTTTCTTATCTAAAGAAATTCATTTCAAGAACGATAATAGAATGATTTATGTAATTGTTATGTAACAATTGTGTAACGTTAATGGAGCCGCAAATTCCGCTGCAGTAGCTTAAAGGATAAATAACACAATTTATGACCAATGAATGATGTATATTTAGAATGACTCATCAGTGATATGCAAGTTCTTTGTTTTTTAATCAAGCGGATATAGTCAAAATACAAACACCGATGTTTCACATTAAGGGAGCTTATCACCGAATCGATCTGCGGGCATAATTACTACGTAATAGTAAAAGTAAATGAGTAACTTTATTACAGTATTATAAAAGGGACAACATTTTTACTCTTTTACGTACAAACAAGTTTACACGATTTTTTTCTAAATCCAAAAAATTCTCTCAATTCTCTTAATCCTCAATATTTTATTAACTACCGCTTAAACAAAATGCAAATTTTCGTTAAAACTCTTACCGGAAAAACGATCACTCTTGAAGTCGAGTCGTCAGATACAATTGACCAAGTTAAGCAGAAGATTCAGGATAAAGAAGGAATCCCCCCAGACCAGCAACGTTTGATTTTTGCTGGTAAACAATTAGAAGACGGTCGCACTTTATCAGATTACAACATCCAAAAGGAATCCACACTTCACTTAGTTCTTCGACTTCGTGGTGGTATGCAGATTTTTGTAAAAACACTCACTGGTAAAACTATTACCCTTGAGGTTGAATCATCCGACACCATCGACCAAGTGAAACAGAAAATTCAAGATAAAGAAGGAATTCCCCCGGATCAGCAGCGTTTAATCTTCGCCGGAAAACAATTAGAAGATGGCCGTACTCTCTCGGATTATAATATTCAAAAAGAATCTACTTTACATTTAGTTCTCCGTCTTCGTGGTGGTATGCAAATTTTCGTCAAGACCCTCACGGGTAAAACTATTACACTTGAGGTGGAGTCATCTGACACCATCGATCAGG